GGGGGCCACATCTGGCCCCCAGGCCTTAGGTTGCCAACCCCTGCTTTTGGCCATGTGGGCTGTAGCACTAGGCAAAGTGAGGCAACTACTTTGGATAGCTCCTCAGCAATTCCTTTCTGTTGGTAGACCGATCTGCGTGAGATACAGTCTTACCTATATCTTTGAAACTAGCCTGCTGCACCTGTGGTGTAATGGAGGATGGCATCCCATTACCAGCATTCAACAGGCAATCTGGCCTTCTGTGTGCCACTGGGAATGGCATACCACCTTGTCCTTTGTCTCAGAGTGCAAAATTCTCTCTGGCCATCTCTGATTCTATAATAGGTTTATCCAGATCCATTGGAAGATGAAAGATTCCATTTATAACCCCCTTTAAGCTTTTATTATAAGTGAAAGCTTTGAAGGCAATTGGAAGACAGTGCGTGCTTCAAAAATCAGTGAATACCAGAAATCTCCTTTTAGGGCTAAAATAGAATCCTACCATCCATCATCCATCCATCCCTTTATTTATATTCCAACTTTCTTTCAGATTGCTTACAAAAATGCATAACTGAAATGAGAACAGTATTAAAGAACAACAGAATGAAAACCATTAAAAATCTTTCTTTAAAGCATTTTTTTTAAAAAAAAATCCCAATCAAACAGTACAGCACCATTAGTTTGTTATAATTAATTTCCGGAGGCTTCCAAAGATTTTAAAGGCTCATGTGGGAAGAGAAGATCCTGGAGGGTGGTTGCTGGCAGTCAACATTAGATTGAGCAATGGTCCAGCTTAGTATAAGGCAACTTCCTATGTGATGGGGAAAGACCAGAAAGCCATGTGGATCAGTGCCAGTCGAAGAAGACAAAATGTTAGGCTCCTTGGACAAATAGTCTAACCAGTTGGTGGAAGAACAGGATCAAACCTTGGCACGAGAATCTCTTTTTTTTCACTAGTGCAACGTTGAATGTTATATTTTGACCTAGTTTGCAGCGATTTCCATCTAAACAGTCACTAAGCTGTGTATGTGCATATCAATATAAATATAAGCCCTTGCAGTGGGAAATGCAAGAAAAACTGAATCGTTAAGTCATTTTCCACACACACAAAGGACGTTATCACACTGGCCCTAAAGCAGCGTCATTT